TTGATCACAAACAATTTCAATGGGAAAATATATAATAAATTAAAAATATTTTCCAATTAAAAACGTCTTTCTGCGCGAAAAGAAATGATAGAGGATATTTTAAATTATTTTATTATACCGATGCAATTCCTTGGACCGTCACCGAAGGGTTGATAAACCATTGGGTGTCTGCTTTGTACAGCTTCCTCGTTAAATCTTTCTGGATCGAAGACATCTGGCTTTGGATAAATATCCGGATCTCGATGCATCCCGTAAATTGGAATCCATACTTTTTGGCCTTTCGGAATACTAACTGTAGTACCATTAAAAGTATAATTCGTCATGGCTTGTCTCAAAAGAAATGTTACTATTGGATATTTTCGTAATGTTTCTGCAAGTTAAGAATAGTGTTGAATTATTAAACAAATAAAATAGTGTTGAATTATTAAACAAATAAAAACAAAAAAAATAAGGCTCTGGCGTGAAATCACAAATATAAAGTAATAACGGATATAGGAGCCAAGACAAGATGTTAGTGTCTAAATGATTTTAATATTTAAATTAATTGCGAAAAATTTACCTCAGCCAGGGTCTGAACTTGGGCCTCCTTACTAGGCAGGCATCTCACCAATTCGGCCACTGAGGCATGTTGAGGTGAGACGCCCGCCTAGTGAGAGGAAAGTCTAGGTTCAAACCCTTGCTAAGGTAAGTTTTTTGCAATAACGTTAACAATTAAAATCATTTGGAGTTTAGACACTACCATCCTGTCTCTACTCTTTTCTATCCTTTATTACTTCGTATTTGAAATTATTAACATATTGAAAAACTTCAAGCAATAAGAATATTGCAATATTGCTGAAAGAGAAGATAATAGCGCCATACCCACACAGCATAAATGTCTAAAAGACATTTTTAAGACATCATTAAGTAGACATGTGCATCTAAAAGATATCGTTAAGATATTTTTAAGATATTTTTATGACGTTTTTTTTAGACAGTATAGAATTTTTATCATATTGCACTTTTTCGACAAATAATGATCTTCATTATAGTATTTATACATATATTTGATGAGAGTACAATTTTTACAATTTTCTTACAAATTACAAGTATTTTGCATAAAGTGTTTTTTGTTAATAAAACAATACATGAAATTATAATGTAATTATTTAGTTTAGCGGACCACCCTCCGTGCGCGCGCGCATATGTGGGTGTGTGGGTATGTCCTTCTTAAACGTACATAAACGGTATCGTAAACTACATAGCATTTGTGAAACTTTTTTCTTCATAACTTTTTAACAAATACCGGCCGACGGCTAAAACTTCTTGTAGTTCACTTAGGGTCATGGTCTTGATAATATATGTTAAGGAAATCGAGATTGGAGGACGGTCTGTTAAACTAAATAATTACCAATGACAACGTATGTGTTAAATTATATCGGATCTGAATACAACTTAGTATAGTTACATGTATAATGTTGCCATGTATATTTCACTTCAATGCATTGTGATTAATTTTTCTATCTCTCATTTTCTTTACGTATCATTCCCCTTCACTCAAGTAGATACTTAACTTTAACTTCTCTTACTTTACTAACGTTTTGTTTCTAGTAGCAAGGTCGATGTATTCTGTTTGGTAAGAATACAATTTTTTTCCAAATTACGGACATTAAACGTAAACTGTTTTTTTTTATGGAACGGCACTTGTCAATAATGTCCTTGTTGCAGTACAAATTCTCTAAAATTCTTTAAGTGTATTTGTTCGCAAACTGTCAAATTTTAATCGTCTCGCCGCTGACAGCTGTCTCGCAGCACCAAGTTAGCGAAATGAGCGAATCACTCAGCATCGCGGAAAAGCGACAACAATAAACTTTCCATACCTTTTCTTATAGAAGATTTCTATAACGTATCTTAATAATAACAACCTAGACTTAACATTTATCTATTAAAACTTATCAAATTATTAACTGTTTCATGTAAGGTTTCTTGTTACAACATAAAACTAACGAGGATTATAGCAGTCGATACAATGACTCGTATTATTGCTTTCAATGATCAATTTTCTGAACTTTTTATTACGTATTATATTTTCTGTGAAGAATTAGGAAAAATTTAAGGTCGATTAAGTTTAACTATATTCAAGTGTAATCCATATTTTGGAACTAATAGGAATGCTTTAGGGTCGTTTACATAGATTCTTGGAGTTTTCTCGCAAGTCTCAATTCTGTAGTTACGTAACACCTTTATAAGTCCAAGTTTAATCTGATAAGCAGCGAAACGAGAAGCTGAAAATAAAAAAATAATTATAATGTAAATTAGTTTCTCGTTCATAAACATGTTTAATAGGAACATATGTAATAAATGAAGAACATTTTTCAACCGAAAGTGTCTTTCTGCGCGAAAAGAAATGGTAGAGGTATTTCTAATCATTTCGTTATACCGATGCAATTCCTTGGCCCGTCACCGAAGGGTTCATAAACCATCGGGTGTCTGCTTTGTACAGCTTCCTCGTTAAATCTTTCTGGATCGAAGACATCTGGCTTTGGATAAATATCCGGATCTCGTTGCATCCCGTAAATTGGAATCCATATTCTTTGGCCTTTCGGTATACTAACTGTAGTACCATTGAAAGTATAATTCGACATGGCTTGTCTCAAAAGAAATGTTACTGGCGGATACTTTCGTAATATTTCTGTATATTAAGAATAGTGTTGAATTATTAAATACGTAATATTCATAAGGCTCTAATGTTAAATCACAAATACAAGTAATAGAAGAGTAATAGAGGACAAAGTAATAGAGGATGTAAAAGCCAAGACAGGTTGTCAGTGTCTAAATGATTTTAATTTTTAAATTAATTACGAAAAATTTACCTCAACCAGGGCTTGAACCTAAACCTTCCTCTTACTAGGCAAGCATCTCATCAATTTGACCACTGAGGCATGTTGATTGTTGAGGTGAAGCACCCGCCTAGTGAGAGGAAGGTCTAGGTATAAACCCTTGCTAAGGTAAGTTTTTCGCAATAACTTTAACAATTAAAGTCATTTAGAGTTTAGACACTACCATCTTGTCTCTACTCTTTTCTATCCTTTATTACTTCGTATTTGAAATTATTAACATATTGAAAAACTTCAAGCAATGAGAATATTGCATATTGCTGAAAGAGAAGATACTAGCGCCATGCCCAGAAAGCATACATGTCTAAAAGACATTGTTAAGACATCATCAAGTAGACATGTACATACATCTAAAAGATATCTTAACGATATCTTTATGACGTTTTTTAGACGTGTGCTATCTGGATAGTCTTCTTCAAACGACATACCTTTGAAAATTTTATCTAAATAATCCATTTTGTTTACATTATTATATGTTAAGCCTTGACCACATTTTGCGTAAAGTTCATCAACTTCCTCGCGCAGTTTATCTTGAATTTTCTGATTTAATGCTAACTCGTACATGGCGTTGCTCATAGTAAGCGCCGAAGTTTCATAGCCACCAAGGAAAAATAGGAAAGCCTGAGAAGCTAATAAAGTATCTGTCACTTCTGAAATGTAATATTTTCGTTAATATAAATAACTTGTATTAGTTTAGCTAACAATTCATATCTGATATTATTTTCGAAGTAAGATTAAAACTTCAAATATTCGATCAAATAAAAAAACTAGTGTACTGGTAAATCTTAACTTCATTTTATTGTAACTTATAAAATTTATTTTAGACGCGTGCAAATTCGTATGGTTTTTTCGTGTGAAAAATAGTCCTCTTATGATAGAAAAGAATAGAAAACATAACCATACATACCAATATCACCCAATTTTTCTGGATGTTTTTTCATTTCACGTAAAATGTCAATGAAGTCGTTTCTGGTGATATTATTCTTTTCTCTGTAGTCCATGGTCTCCACGACAATGCGTGTCAAGAATTTGGTGCTTTCTTTTAGCGGAATAATATGCGCGTACGCGAGCATATCGTAAAGCCAGGGAAATATTTGTCTGGCTCTTGTTCGTAATATATTTGTCCAAGTCGGAGTCATTTCGTTTCTACCCATCCTACGAAATTCACTGTCTTCGCTCGACAATGCTTTCATCTCGATGCCGAAGGCGCAGCTACCGATAACGTCGGTCATATATTTCGCCGTCAGCTCGCGGCATTCTACAGGTTCATTCTTGCTCGCTATATTTTCCATGTATTGGACAAGGTGGTCAGCGCATGCTAATATTAAGGAGAACATGTCTTTTATTTTGCCGGGTGCAAAAGCAGGCGACAGATTTATTCTCAACGGTCGCCATCTTTTTGGTTCTAAACCGAGTAGATGTTGTGAGAGCGGCTCGGCCTGTAGCAAAGAGAGAGTTGTAATTAAATAATCGCCTCGGTGGTCGAATTGGTTGAGACGCCCGCCCAGAGTGAAGGGAGTTCCATGTTCAAACCTTAGCTGAGGTAATATTTTTTGCAATAAATTTTCTGTATTATTAAAATTGCTAGATACGGTCAATAAAAATCACTGATGTTGGTAATTAAATAAATTAAATCACTATCATATTCTACGAATTTGTAAAAACTGGCATACGGTTTTTGGAAGCAAATGTCATAATTTTTTGTTTAGGTGTCATCACACGAAAGGTATAGAAGTATTATGTATAAATCTTTTAATAGAAATATACGCACTGTGTTATTCGTTTATATATACAATACCTTTCGAATATACTTATATGTATAAGATTTAAGCATTCTTACTATTGTAGAAACGGGTAGTCCTCTGTGAGAGAATACGGAAAAATCTTTGATAAGGATATCCTTAATTAAATCCGGATCCTTTACAATAAGGACAGGTGTCGTTCTAGTGAATATTCCGATCATTCGTTCATCTTTGTAGGTGTTGTATAGTTCTGTCAAATAATCGCCCATAGATATATTACAAAGCATAACGTCTTTGAAATTACCAAATCCCGGTATCGGTTTTGGACCACGAATGCCACGTGACTTCCAAAAGTTGAAATTTTTCGTGAGGTAATAATAAACAGCGAGAATTACGGCGACGATGCCGCACAGAATTTCATAAGGCCCCATTTTCCAGAAATTGTCAATCTTTATCGGTTTTTACTAAAAGAAAAAAACATTCCATTACATAATTGACGGCGTCAATGTCGATTCGACATCGTTTCGACATCGATCGACAAATAATTTGTCACTGGACACGTTGCAGTACTTCAGAGATAAAGCCACTAATACCGTGTAGGGTGTAGGATCAGAGCACAAAGCGACGTAATAGCTTACGGCAAGATGTAAATCAACGTAGGTTGCACACACGCTTCGATATATGTCGTACTTATTTCCAAGAATATGTACAACGATGTTATATTGAGTTGCATTTTTGCTTATGTTTTAGTAGCAATGTCCATGCGCTATGTTTGATAAGAATACAATTTTCTTCCAAATTACGGATATTATACATAAATGGTTTTTTTTTGTAATGTAACGGCATACGTATCAGTATTGTCCTTGTTACAGTACGAATTCTCTAAAGTGCTCTTTTAAAGTGTTTTTTTAAATAGTTCAAATTATTTTAAATAGTATAGAGTTTTTATCATATTGCACTTTTCTGACAAATAATGATCTTCATTAGTATTTATATATTTGATGAGAGTACAATTTTTACAGTTTTCTTACAAATTACAAGTATTTGGCATAAAGTGTTTTTTGTTAATAAAACAATACATGAAATTATAATGTAATTATTTAGTTTAGCGGACCACCCTCCGTGCGCGCGCGCATACGTGGGTGTGTGGGTGTGTCCTTCTTAAACGTACATACACGGTATCGTAAACTACATAGCATTTGTGACACTTTTTTTCTTCATAACTTTTTAACAAATACCGGCCGACGGCTAAAACTTCTTATAGTTCACTTAGGGTCATGGTCTTGATAATATATGTTAAGGGAATCGAGATTGGAGGACGGTCTGTTAAACTAAATAATTACCAATGACAACGTATGTGTTAAATTATATCGAATCTGAATACAAATTAGTATAGTTACATGTTTAATGTTGCCATGTATATTTCACTTCAATGCATTGTGATTAATTTTTCTATCTCTCATTTTCTTTATGTCAGTATCATTCCCCTTCACTCAAGTAGATACTTAACTTTAACTTCTCTTACTTTACTAACGTTTTGTTTCTAGTAGCAAGGTCGTATTCTATTTGATAAGAATACAATTTTTTTCCAAATTACGGACATTAAACGTAAACTGTTTTTTTTATGGACCGACACGTACGTGTCAATAATGTCCCTGTTATAGTCATTGATAGTTTACTATAAATTAATACATCGGCGATTTCTGTTGATTAAAATTCGTACCATTGGATAAATTTACATGGAATACCGAGTGCAAGTAGCAACTTCGTGCAATCGTACATTCTTCGTGTTTCCTTTCTTGTCACGTGTGATCCATACTGAGCTGTTATACAAAGTGCCACGAAGTCTCGATCATCCCACGAGATTTGGTCAATCATGCCACGAAACTTAAGTACACGTTTCATGTGAGATTGATTACGAGAAATTATATATAACTGTAACTAGATACTTTTATAAAGTAACTTTCTCAATCCTGAGTATTATGTGTTTTTATCGGAAACAATTTTTAGTACACACCCTCTTTAACAGCTGTCAAAATTCAATCGTCTCGTCTCGAGCGAAATGAGAGAATCGTTCAGCATCGCGCAAAATCGACAACAATGTACTTTCCATCCTTTTTTTATAGAGGATTTGTATAACATATCTTAATAATAACATACACTTAAAATTTATCTATTAAAACCTATCAAATTATTAACTATTTTGTATAAGATTACTTGATAGAACATAAAACTAATGAGGATTATATCAGTCGATACAATAACTCGTATTATTGTTTTAAATGATCTATTTTCTGCACTCTTTATTACGTAATATATTTTCTGTGAAGAATTAGGAAAAACTTAAGTTCGATTAAGTTTAACTATTTTCAAGTGTAGTCCGCCTTTTGGCGCTAGTAGGAATGATCCAGGGTTGTTTACGTAGGGTATTGGAGTTTTCTCGCAAGGCTCAATTCTGTAGTTGCGAAGCATCTTTATAAGTCCAAGTTTAGTCTGATGAACAGCGAAACGAGATCCTGAATATAAAGAAACGATTATAATGTAAATTAGAGTCTTGATCAAAAACATTTTTAATCGAATAATATGTAATAAATTAAATATATTTTCCAATCAAAAGTGTCTTTTTGCGCGAAAAGAAATGATAGAGGATATTTTAAATAATTTCATTATACCGATGCAATTCCTTGGCCCGTCACCGAAGGGTTGATAAACCATCAGGTGTCTGCTTTGTACAGCTTCCTCGTTAAATCTTTCTGGATCGAAGATATCTGGCTTTGGATAAAAATCCGGATCTCGTTGCATCGCGTAAATTGGAATCCATACTTTTTGGCCTTTCGGTATACTAACTGTAGTACCATTGAAAGTATAATTCGACATGGCTTGTCTCAAAAGAAATGTTACTGGCGGATACTTTCGTAATATTTCTGCATGTTAAGAATAGTGTTGAATTATTAAATACGTAATATTCATAAGGCTCTAATGTTAAATCACAAATACAAGTAATAGAAGAGTAATAGAGGACAAAGTAATAGAGGATGTAAAAGCCAAGACAGGTTGTTAGTGTCCAAGTGATTTTAATTTTTAAATTAATTACGAAAAATTTACCTCAACCATGGCTTGAACCTGGACCTTCCTCTTACTAGGCAAGCATCTCACCAATTTGACCACTGAGGCATGTTGATTGTTGAGGTGAAGCACCCGCCTAGTGAGAGGAAGGTCTAGGTATAAACCCTTACTGAGGTAAGTTTTCCGCAATAAATTAAAAAATTGAAATCATTTAGACACTATTATCCTGTCTCTACTCTTTTATATCCTTTATTACTTCGTATTATAAACTATTAACATATTGAAAAACTACAAGCGATGAAAATATTGCATTCTTGCCGAAAAAGAAGATACCAGCGCCATGCCCAGACAGCATACATGTCTAAAAGACATCTTTAAGACATCATTAAGTAGACATGTACGTACATCTAAAAGATATCTTAACGATATCTTTATGACGTTTTTTTAGACATGTATGTTATCTGGATAGTCTTCTTCAAACGACATACCCTTGAAAATTTTATCTAAATAATCCATTCTGTTTACATTATTATATGTTAAGCCTTGGCCACATTTTGCATAAAGTTCATCAACTTCCTCGCGCAGTTTATCTTGCATTTTCTGATTTAATGCTAACTCGTATATGGCGTTGCTCATAGTAAGCGCCGAAGTTTCAAAGCCACCAAGGAAACATAGGAAAACCTGAGAAGATAATAAACTATCTGTCACTTCTGAAATGTAATATTTTCGTTAATATATTACATAACTTGTATTAGTTTAGCTAACAATTCATATCTAATATTATTTTCGAAGTAAGATTAAAACATCAAATATTCGATCCAATAAAAAATTAGTGTTATGGTAAATCTTAACTTCATTTTATTGTAACTTATAAAATTTATTTTAGACGCGTGCAAATTCGTATGGTTTTTTCGTGTGAAAAATAGTCCTCTTATGATAGAAAAGAATAGAAAACATAATCATACATACCAACATACATATCACCCAATATTTCTGGATGTTTTTTCATCTCACGTAAAATGTCAATGAAGTCGTTTCTGGTAATATTATTCTTTTCTCTGTAGACCATGGTCTCCACGACAACGCGTGTGAAGAATTTGGTGCCTTCTGTTAGTGGAATAATATGCGCGTACGCGAGCATACCGTAAAGCCACGGAAATATTTGTCTGGCTCTTGTTCGTAATATATTTGTCCAAGTCGGAGTCATTTCGTTTCTATCCATCCTACGAAATTCACTGTCTTCGTTCGACAATGCTTTCATCTCGATGCCGAAGGCGCAGCTACCGATAACGTCGGTCATATATTTCGCCGTCAGCTCGCGGCATTCTACAGGTTCATTCTTGCTCGCTATATTTTCCATGTATTGGACAAGGTGGTCAGCGCATGCTAATATTAAGGAGAACATGTCTTTTACTTTGCCGGGTGCAAAAGCAGGCGACAGATTTATTCTCAACGGTCGCCATCTTTTTGGTTCTAAACTGAGTAGATGTTGTGAGAGCGGCTCGGCCTGTAGCAAAGAGAGAGTTGTAATTAAATATAATCGCCTCGGTGGTCGAATTGGTTGAGACGCCCGCCCAGAGTGAAGGGAGTTCCATGTTCAAACCTTAGCTGAGGTAATATTTTTTGCAATAAATTTTCTGTATTATTAAAATTGCCAGATACGGTCAATAAAAATCACTGATGTTGGTAATTAAATAAATTAGATCACTATCATATTCTACGAATTTGTAAAAACTGGCATACGGTTTTTGGAAGCAAATGTCATAATTTTTTGTTTAGGTGTCATCATACGAAAGGTATAGAAGTATTATGTATAATCTTTTAATAGAAATATATGCACTGTGTTATTCGTTTATATATACAATACTTTTCGAATATACTTATATGTATAAGATTTAAGCATTCTTACTATTGTAGAAACGGGTAGTCCTCTGTGAGAGAATACGGAAAAATCTTTGATAAGGATATCCTTAATTAAATCCGGATCCTTTACAATAAGGACAGGTGTCGTTCTAGTGAATATTCCGATCATTCGTTCATCTTTGTAGGTGTTGTATAGTTCTGTCAAATAATCGCCCATAGATATATTACAAAGCATAACGTCTTTGAAATTACCAAATCCCGGTATCGGTTTTGGACCACGAATGCCACGTGACTTCCAAAAGTTGAAATTTTTCGTGAGGTAATAATAAACAGCGAGAATTACGGCGACGATGCCGCACAGAATTTCATAAGGCCCCATTTTCCAGAAATTGTCGATCTTTATCGGTTTTTACTAAAAGAAAAAAACATTCCATTACATAATTGACGGCGTCAATGTCGATTCGACATCGTTTCGACATCGATCGACAAATAATTTGTCACTGGACACGTTGCAGTACTTCAGAGATAAAGCCACTAATACCGTGTAGGGTGTAGGATCAGAGCACAAAGCGACGTAATAGCTTACGGCAAGATGTAAATCAACGTAGGTTGCACACACGCTTCGATATATGTCGTACTTATTTCCAAGAATATGTACAACAATGTTATATTGAGTTGTATTTTTGCTTATGTTTTAGTAGAAATGTCCATGCGCTATGTGTGATAAGAATACAATTTTCTTCCAAATTACGGATATTATACGTAAATGGTTTTTTTTGTAATGTAACGTACATTATTGTCCTTGTTACGGTACGAATTCTCTAAAGTGCTGTTTTAAAGTATTTTTTTTAAGTAGTTAAAATTATTTTAAATAGTATAGAATTTTTACATATTGCACTTTTCGGACAAATAATGATCTTCATTAGTGTTTATACATATATTTGATGAGAGTAGGTACAATTTTTACAGTTTTCTTACAAATTGCAAGTATATGATTTGTTGTAAAATTTAAAATAAATACAACAAAATTACATTATAAAGTTTCTAATAATTATTCTAGGGTAAGTTAATATATTTTATTAAAAATATATTATGTGGTCGCTAAATACGATATTTAGGTCGGTTTTTGAGAACATTCAATTCTCGTGCCCATGCGCCAAGATAAGGCTTACAAGCATATGATCTATATATAACACATCTTAATAATAACATATACTTAACATTTATCTATTAAAACCTATCAAATTATTAACTATTTTATATAAGATGACTTGATAGAACATAAAACTAATGAGGATTATAGCAGTCGATATAATAACTCGTATTATTGCAGTTTTAAATGATCAATTTTCTGCACTATTTATTACGTATTATATTTTCTGTGAAGAATTAGGAAAAACTTAAGGTCGATTAAGTTTAACTATTTTCAGGTGCAGTCCGCCTTTTGGCGCTAATAGGAATGATCTAGGGTCGTTTACGTAGGGTATTGGAGTTTTCTCGCAAGGCTCAATTCTGTAGTTGCGAAGCATCTTTATAAGTCCAAGTTTAGTCTGATGAACAGCGAAACGAGATCCTGAAGATAAAGAAAGACTATAATGTAAATTAGATTCTCGATCAAAAACATTTTTAATCGAATAATATGTAATAAATTAAAAATATTTTCCAATCAAAAATGTCTTTCTGCGCGAAAAGAAATGATAAAGGATATTTTAAATCATTTTATTATACCGATGCAATTTCTTGGCCCGTCACCGAAGGGTTGATACACCATCGGGTGTCTGCTTTGTACAGCTTCTTCGTTAAATCTTTCTGGATCGAAGATATCTGGCTTTGGATAAAAATCCGGATCTCGTTGAATCGCGTAAATTGGAATCCATACTCTTTGGCCTTTCGGTATACTAACTTTAGTGCCATTGAAAGTATAATTCGACATGGCTTGTCTCATAAGAAATGTTACTGGCGGATACTTTCGTAATGTTTCTGCACGTTAAGAATAGTGTTAAATAATTAACATGTTGAAAAACTTCAGTTAATGAGAATATTGCACAATTGCTGAAAAAAGAAGATAACAGCGTCTTAATAGTCTTCTTCAAACAACATACCTCTGAAGATTTTATCTAAATAATCCATTTTTTTTATATTGTCGTATGTTAAGTCTTGGCCACATTTTGCATAAAGTTCATCAATTTCCTCGCGCAGTTTATCTTGCATTTTCTGATTTAATGCCAACTCGTACATGGCGTTGCTAATAGTCGTCGACGAAGTTTCAAAACCAGCAAGGAAAAATACGAAAGCCTGAGCAGTTAGTAAAGTATCTGTCAATTCTGAAATGTAATATTTTTGTTAATATAAATAACTTCTATTAGTTTAGTTAACAATTCATATCTAATAATATTTTCGATGTAATCTCAAATATTCGATTGAATAAAAAATTAATTGTTATGGTAAAATTTAACTTCATTTTTTTCTAACTTATAAAATTTATTTTAGGCGCGTGCAAACTCGTATGATTATTCTTGTGAAAAATAGTCTTCTTATGATAGAAAACAGTAACATACAAACATACATACCAATATCACCCAATTTTTCTGGATGTTTTTTTAGTTCGCGTAACATATCAATGAAGTCGTTTCTAGTGATTTTATTCGTTTCTCTGTAATCCATGGTCTCCACGATGACGCGTGTGAAGAATTTGGTGACTTCTGTTTGCGGAATGATATGCGCGTACGCGAGCATTTCGTAAAGCCACGGAAACATTTGTCTCGCTCTTATTCGTAATAGATTTGTCCAAGTCGGAGAGAATACTTTTCTACCCATCTTTCGAAATTCACTGTCTTCGTCCGACAAAGCGTTCATCTCGATGCCGAAGGCGCAGCTACCGATAACGTCGGTCGTATATTTCGCAGTCAACTCGCGGCATTCCACTGGTTCATTCTTGCTCGCTATGTTTTCCATGTATTGAACAAGGTGGTCAGCGCAGTCTGATATTAAGGAGAACATGTCCTTTAATTTGCCGGATGTAAAAACAGGCGATAGATTTATTCGGAACGGTCGCCATCTCTTCGGCTCTAAAGTGAAAAGATGTTGCGAGAGCGGCTCGGCCTGTAGCAAAGAGCGAATTGTAATTGAATAAATTAGATCACTATCATATTCTACGAATTTGCAAAAACTGGCATACGGTTTTTGCAGGCAAATCTCATAATCTTTTGTTTAAATTTCATCATAAGAAAGGTATAGAAGTATTATGTATAAATCTTTTAATAGAAATATACGCACAATACTTTTCGAATATACTTATATAAGATTTAGGCATTCTTACTTTTTTAGAAAGGGGTAGTCCTCTGTGCGAGAATACGGTGAAATCCTTGATAAGGATATCCTTAATTAAATCCGGATCCTTTACAATAAGAAGAGGTGTCGTTCTAGTGAATATTCCAATCATTGGTTCATCTTTGTAGGTGTTGTACAGTTCTGTCAAATAGTCGCCCGATGATATATTATTAAACATAACGTCTTTGAAATTGCCAAATCCTGGTATCGGTGCTGGACCACGAATGCCACGTGACTTCCAGAAGTCGAAATTTTTCGTGAAGTAATAATAAGTAGCGAGAATTACGGCGGCGATGCCGCACAGAATCTCAAAGGGCCCCATTGTCCAGAAATCGTCGATCTTTATCGGTCTTTACTGAAAGAAAAAAACATTCCATTACATAAATGACGGTGTCGAACATTCAATTACATAAATTTATCTTGAGGAATGACAATATTCCATAATATGTCAAGAAAATGCATCTTTAACAAACTGTTAGATTGAATTAGATTGATAGATTTTTTTCAAGTTTCTCCCTCTACGGGAATGCCGTGGACTACACTGTCATTTGGCTGTAATGGATATTAGCGTTAAATTGGACGATGGCATTGACGAAACGTTCCTTTATTTTTAAATCAATTAAAAAGAGTTCTTTATATTATTAGTAATATTGATATTAGCAGTTGTAGTGAGGTACGTTGGTACACTGAGAAAAATTTTCTTCGGATAAACCAATTGGAAAATATGTCCGATGGTTAGTTTTCCCGATTGAATTGTGGGTACATGCGATGAAATTTACCCGATGAAATTTGATTGAAAAACCGATCACTTTTTTTATTGGATACACAATTTAATCGGATATATCTGTTTGTTATTACTTAATTGGATCGTGTGATTATATTTAATCGGACATTTTTCTCAGTGTATATTAACTGTTCTAATTTGGTACGGTTTATCATTCTGTTATCGTATTCATATAACATTTTCTTGTTGTGGTATTTTAGCATTAAGTATTTTATTTTCGACATTTTGCAGTCGACTAAATGATTAATTTATATCTAAATGCTAACAACAAATGTTGCATCATTCTTATCTTTTTTTTATGTTAATACGAAAGCGATTACAAGTAATCTGAAAACATTCGTTTAAGAAAAATGTTAGAACAAATTAATATGTGCGCAAATGCGCAATCGGGTTGCGTCATCGAAGTTGAAAAAATTAATGATTGAAAGAAAAAAGAAATAATATGAACAATTACCTCTCAGTGTATATTGTAATGCGTTATAACGCGCTTGAACATGATGTTACGCGATCTTGATATTATGCAAATCATCTTAAAATTTAAAACGTAGAATTTATCGCCGACAAAACGAATGAGATCTTTTAATAAATTCAATTCGACGACCACGCAGCCTGCCAAGTGGCGATTATTTATGTTTGCTCGGTTGTCATTATTGCGTATTTAGTGTATGATAGCAAGATGATTCTGAATATAAATATCTATTGGAATCAGATCCACCGGATAAAACGTAGAACGGGTACAGAAATGATGAGACTCCTTTCTGTATACGAAATGTGTAATTAATCTTGTTACAAAAGAGAGTACAAAAAGCAATGTTCTTCTATAAGAAAGGAAAGCGCAGTAGTTGTAAAAAAAACGATGTTACGCTCTATAGCACGACGTAATACTTCAGAGATAAAGCCTATATTACCGTGTAGGATCAGAGCACAAAGCGACGTAATAGGTTGCGACAAGAAGTCAATCATAAATGTAGGGAGCATACAATTAAGCCTCGACACGTGTCGTATTTATTTCCAAGTATAAAATATACACGATGTTACATTTACGCCTCAGCTTGTACGCTAGCTACGTTTATGACTTACGTCTCGTCGTAAGCTATTGCGTGCCTTATCAATACAATTGGTATCGTACTATCTATTGCGCAACAATATTTCGGAAAGGAAAACAAATTGCGTCAATTTTTTTTCTCTACTTTTTATAATGACTGTGTGACTAGGCGATTTCTTCGCTAATGAGGATTGTGATGCTGATGATCTATGAACGTGCTATGAAGCGATGCTAAGATAAAATTGCAGAATGTAATTCTTTTTCTGTTCCTTCTAAAATCTTTCGACATTGATCACAGACGTGACATAATTACCTGACCGTGGGTGGCGATGCGACGTAATTGCATTCGCAATATTTTGCGTCGTGTGTCAGCTCACGTCGGTCGCGTAAGTGAACTTGTAGTGGCTCTTAACAGTATAACTGGAGATAATATAACTAACCGTCGCCGTCTGGATCATGCGGAATTATAAGCGCGGTGCACCAGCGCAAGCAAAGTATGTTTGTGATTATGTGAGTCACGATGAATTGTGGAAATGGTATCTTCAGAATTCATCTCCCTCCGTCGCCTCAAGTGCGCTCCGTTATCGTGACACTGCAAATAATGCTCAGCAAAATATTAATTGATTAGATAACATCTTGTTATATCTAACCCGTGTTTATTAGTGTGCCGTTTTTGGCGCTACTTTTCTGTCCAAACTTAGTTATCCGATCGTGTTGCGAAGAAATTAATTAATCATGAGTTAAACGTACCATGAAACGATTTTTTTACGATGATCTGTTGGACGTTTTACGTCCAACTGTAAAATAGTCGCAATTGGAAAAGAATCACGGGACTTTGATGAAAAAGCGAAAGAAAGGAAGAAATCGCAGCCAGTATTTTTCTGCTGATAAAGGATTTTGGAAAACTAGTACCTACTTTCATAAATGTGCTATTGATTTCCGATTTATTAAATATTTAAGGAAAATTGTAATTTTAGAAATTCTGCTAAAATTAAAATTAAATGTATTAAGTAAAGTACCTTGAGGTTGGTAATCATTACCCAGATAGCACATAGGTGAACGTAAATTCATAAAGAATTCATTTTAAGGAAATAAAACATGCCTGAAGAATTAGAAAACTGAATATCTGAAGAATTCTCGAAGAATCAGCTACAATCAGTTCTTCTGTAAATATGCGTTAGAAGTTTATTACGGAACATGTAACTTCCCTAATCATTCTTATTGAATTCTTCTACGAGTTCCTGAAAAATTACAATTCAGAAAAGGCAGAAAACTTTGCGAATTTACTGTGTTATAGTCCGTTTTCCACATTTTGAAACCGTATCTTAAGGAAGCTGTCTTACTATGGTTCCGCCAGTGAGAAATGATTTGTTGATCGATATCGATACGATGTCGAGTCGACATCGATACGTTCGTTTCGACATCGATCGACGAGTCATTTCTCGCTGGGCCGTGATTGGTTTGTAATATCTGAAGATTGTACTTAAGGCACCTTAAATGTAAAAACAAGCTCTGAATACCAGCCAAAAACATATTGAACTGATTTCAAACAGTACATTTGTGCAACCTGCTTTAGTCCTCAGTTGTGTATACGTATATAAATATCGCTTTCGAAAGTACTGTTAGATCCATCGCGAAAAAGACATAAATAATATTATAAATAATATTACATAATAAACATTTATTAGCTAAACAATGTGGTTTATAAACAACACATTAGGGAACAGGTTTTATTAATACATATTAAAATTATTTAATTAATTGTATAAAAATTTTAAACAATTTTTTCACGTATAAATATAGTCTTCTTTAAATCTAAATTATATAAGATTTCTATTTCTATGTTTACTTTCCATATTAACTAGCAATTCTCCATTCATTTCTTACTTACTTTTACAAATTCTTGGAAATGTTACATTATGAATTATAATAATGCATGAGCATGAAAATAATCTACTCATAATAAATTGAGAAACAATATTTTACAAGCATTTTATAGTATTTTTTGCATCTTAATTTTTATTCGCAATGGTATCCTTTTCGATTTATTCAAACGATTTCACATATCTCGATATACATTTAGACGCATTAAAACATGTTCATATTATGATAATGTTTGACAATTGTTTGTGGACATTTGATTCACGTGCAAATTAAATATTAATATTTCAATTTCGATATTTTACATATTTATACTTTCAGTATAAAGTGTAAACATACATTTACATCAAAATACACATAAAAAAGAGACAGTCTTAAACGATTATATGCATATTATTAAGATATATACATTAAAGTATATTCATAACAGCACAAATTTAAAATTAAAATATTTAATTATTACACTTGATATGTGCTAATGCACAATGACATTAAGAAAATTAATAAATATTATAGCAGAAATAATGACTCCTGTCATTCTTGTGAATAACAGAAACTTCCGCTTTAAGCTTCTTGTGGAGTATTGGAGAAAAACTTAAATTAAGATCGATTAATTTTAATTATTTTCAAATGTAGTCCACCTAATGGTGATAATATAAATGCTTTAGGATCGTTTACATAGGGTATTGGAGTTTTCTCGCAAGTTTCGACTTTGTAATTTCGTAGTATTTTTATAAGTCCAACTTTACTCTGATAGACAGCAAAACGAGCACCTGAAAATAAAAAGTACAATTATATAAATCGGATCTTTATTTCCAATTGGAAAATATGTAATAACTTAAAAACGTTTTCTAATTAAAAATATCTTTCTACGCGAAAAGAAATGATAACAGATATTTCTAATCATTTCGTTATACCAATGCAATTTCTTGGCCCGTCGCCAAAAGGTAGATAAGCCATTGGGTGTCTGGTTTGCACAGCTTCCTCATTAAACCTTTCTGGGTCGAAGACATCTGGCTTGGGATAAATATCCGGATCTCGATGAATCGCGTAAACGGGAATCCACACTTTTTGTTCTTTCGGTATACTAACTTTAGTGCCATCGAAAGTATAACTCGACGTTGCTTCTCTCATAAGAATTGTCCCTGGCGGATATTTCCGTAATGTTTCTGCATGCATTAAAATACTATTAAATTGTGAAAATAATGAAAAACTACTCCTAATGTTTTTGGAGTGAAAATACTGTCATGGAGTGAAATTTATTTCAATGGCATGAATATTTACTCCAATAGAGTGAATATTTCACTCCATGGCGTTTGAAGTGAGTATTCTCACTCCAAAAATTTTAGAGTGTACAATTAGAGTACATTTTCTACCAATAAGATCACAATATCACTTAAAAGAAAGATAATAGTATATTTTTCTTTCAATGACGTACGTACCTTTGAACACTTTATCTAAATAGTCCATTTTTTTAATAGTATCGTATACTAAGTTTCCATCGAATTTTGTATAGACCTCATCGATTTCTTCACGCAGTTTATCTTGTATTTTCTGATTTAAGGCTAACTCATAGAGCGCGTTGCTAATAGTCGTCGACGAAGTTTCAAAGCCAGCAAGGAAAAACACAAAAGCTTGAGAAGCTATTAAGCTGTCGGTCATTTCTGAAAGTGTCATTTTTTGTTAATATAAATAATTTAACTTTCTATTAGATTAGTTAATCATTTAACACAATTCATGTAAAATAATTATTTTAAAATCTAAAATCTAGTTGGAAAAATACGGTCGCAATACAAAAGTCATTGTTATAAAAGTCACAGTTAACTTTATTTTATTGCAATTTATATAAAATTAGATACGTGCAAATTTGTATGGTTTTCCATGTAAAAACTAGCCTTACGATAAGAAAAAGTAATAAACGTACATACCAATATCGCCCACTTTATCTGGATTTTTCTTCAATTCGCGCAACATGTCAATGAAATCGTTTCTAATGACATTATTCTTTTCTCTGTGGTCCATGGTCTCCGCGATAACGCTTGTGAAGAATTTGGTGACCTCCGTCTGCGGTAGGATGTATCCAGACATTTCATAAAGCCACGGAAACATTTGTCTAATTCTTATTCGCATCATAGTTCTCCAAGTCGGAGTGAATACTTTCCTTCCCATCTTGCGAAATTCACTGTCTTTGTCCGACAAAGCGTTCATCTCGATGCCGAAGGCACAGCTACCGATAACGTCGGTCGTGTATTTGGCCGCCAATTCGCGACATTCTACAGATTCAGTATCGCTCTCTATCTTTTCCATGTATTGGACAAGGTGGTCAGCGCATTCTAATATTAAGGAGAACATCTCCTTTAATTTACCGGATGTAAAAACAGGCGACAGTTTCGTTCTCAAAGGTCGCCATCTCTTCGGCTCCAACGAGAAAAGATGTTGCGACAGCGGCTCGGCCTGCAACGAAGAATAGAATTGTAATTCAGTTCACAAAATCAAATTCTACTTACACAAACTTGCTTACGATGTTTTGAAGATAAATCTTATGATTTTTAATGACTCATAAAAAAATATATAGAAGTAGGTATATGTCATTCTTAAAAAAAAGAACCTATGGAATATGCCAAGTATTCTTGAAGAATATTCTTAAAATGTTCATAGGAGTGTCTTGTGCTATCTGGGTATAAATAACTTTAAGTATTCTTACCTTTTCGAAAGTGGGAAAACCTCTGTTAGCGAATAAGGTAAAATCTTTGATGAGGACATCTTTAATTAAATCCAGATCTTTCATAATAAGAAGAGGTGTCTTTCTCGCAAATATCCCGAACATTGGTTCATCTTTGTAAGTGTTGTACATTTCTGTCAAATAATCGCTCGCGGATACGTTATTAGCCATAACGTCCTTAAAGTTACCAAATAGCGGCATCGGTCGTGGGCCACGAACGCCACGTGACTTCCAAAAGTCGAAAGTCGATGTGAAGTAATAGTAAAGACCGAGAATTATGACGGCGATGCCGCACAGAATTTCAAAGGGTCCCATTTTCCAGAGATCGTCGATCTTTCAGAAATGAACCTTACTGAAAGCAAAGAAGAAACAATATTTTGTTATATAAATCGTTTGTTATATAAACCACTTTATTGGAATTATAATGTTCGACGAAAGGGCACCACACTGCAAACGGACGCGGCAACCATCCGGAAGCCATTACGACTGAATGTTCGACGAAATTCAAGCAAAATGCATCATTAACAAAGCATCATTTAAATTAGATTTGATGGATACTGTTAAGTAATTATATTTAAATAATTATAATCCGTATCTTCCCTAATTCTTTCACATTTGGAAACAGATTGTCTTCTTTGAAAGCCTGAAGCAAAAATTGGAATGACAACCAGAGAACCGAGGGGTCGGACCTCAGGATCAAGCCTGCACCGAGAAAAATGTTCATTGGATAAATCAAATGGGTAGTGTTTCCGATGAAAAATTAACCATCGGTTTTTCTGACTAAGTTTTCCGATTAAATTATGGAGATATTCGATGAAATTTATCCGATAAAATTGCAGTTACCGATGAAATCTAATCGGAGAACCGATTATATTTTTCATCGGATATGCAATTTAATTGAATATATCCGTTAATATGTAATTTGTTATCTGATTGGATAGGCCAGGATATTTTTCTTTTACAGTAACTCATTTGGAGATTTGAAGAACATTCACAAACGTGTTCACTCGAATACACGACCGTCCAAAAATATATAAATTATCATTCAGAGAATTCATGACTGAGATCTCTCAAAAGCGAATAATTTAGCGTGTCTTTTGAAGACGATGGCATCGAAGAAACATTCCTTTATTTATAAAATTGAAATATTCATATTGATTGAAAATATTCATATACATATCATTATTGATATTAATAGTTATAGTAATTAGATTTGTTGATGAACTGTCCTAATTTGATATCGTATCATTTTGATAAAATATTATATTTTTTTCGTATGAATTGTATTTTAGTATCACAGTATCAAATATTTTATTTTCAATATTTCGATAATTTGCAACGATTGATAATTAAAAGTTATCAAAAAAATATTATATCGATCTTATATCTTTCATAATATTAGTGGAGAAGATAATACAGGTAATCTAAGTACATTCGTCCGGGAAAGGGCGCTAGAACGAGTTAATATTTGCACAAACGCGCAACCACGTTGCGTCATCAAAGCGTCAACAAAGACGAAATGACTATTTTACTAGGCAATTACTTCTCAAAGCTCGATTACAGGCAGTTGTAAAATCATGCAAATTGTCTTAAAATTTAAGACGTGAAATTGATCATCGCCTAAACAAATGAGAGTTAAATTCAATTCGATGACCGTGCGATCTATTATCGTGGCGATTATTTATCTCACCCCTTATAGTAGCACAATATATTGGCGCAATATTGGGAAATAATGTAAATCTAGTATTCCCAATATTGGTCCAATATTATAATACGGACGCCTTCTTTTATTTAGCCAGTGAGAAATGATTCGTCAATCGATGTCAAAACGATGTCGAATCGACATCGATACCATCAAATTGACGTTGATTCGACATTATTTCGACATCGATCGACGAATCATTTCTCACTGGGCAATATGCCTATTTAGCAACATTAATATTATATCAATATTGGACCAATATTCTTATTACATTGTTAAATATTGGCCAATGCACTTCCAATATTAATCTAATATTATATAATTATTATTGTGCACATTTACATTTATTCCATGGCCAATATTGGCTTTACGTTGGACAATGTCGGCCAATGCATTTCTAATATAACAGACTTCGGACCAATGTTTAGCCAATGCACTGTGCTACTAGGACACTCAAATCAAGGAATAAAGTTTTTCACAAAAAAGTTTAGCACCCACTTAACAGATACACGGGGAGATTTTAATATCCCCCGCGATAACTGGAGTAGAATAAAAACGAAAACCAGGAGGAACGAGAGATCGGTCTTCCGCTTTAAAATCCAGGTCTATGAGAGAAGCCTCGGCCTCTCGAGCGGTACATCCAACAGCGCGGTGGGGATAAAGTGGGGAAGACGTAGCGGTCACAGACACACCAGTGTTGCTTCAATGGCGATTATTCAACGTGGAAATGAACGACTGAATGCGTGGCGCATACATATAACGCGCACGATGTAAAGTAAACCACTGATCTCGGGGATTGGGAGACTCGCTGATAACACTCGGCCTGTAACGCACGACGTAATACTTCAGAGATAAAGCGAATGCCACTTATCAACACAATCGAACCAACCTCGTTTTATCCACCGCGCAGCGACGTTTTGAGAAGGAGCAGAAAATTACGCCGAAAATGTCGCAGAGATCGACTCCTCCGTATCGTAGCGACTCTGGCCCGGTAGGCGGTTCCTGCGCTGACGCTGAATTGACGCGCGACGGAGCGATCTCTCTTTCAAGAATGAAATTACAGAGCTGGTTCCTTTATTTCTCTTTTTCACGCTTCGCGTATGCACAAGCGATGGACGTGACATACCTGAACGTGGTGCGGTGCAATTGCATCCGCGACGTACGTTGCGTCGGAGTCCGTGAGCGAACTTGCACTAATTCGCCGCTGGAGATAATGTAACAGTCGCCGTCTAGATCGCGCGAAATTATAAAGCGCGGACGCCCCGGCGAGTATAACGTGAGTCACGATGAATTGTGGAAAACGGTATCTCTGGGATTCATCTCCCTCCGTCGCATCAAGTACGCCCCGTTACCGTGACTCTGCAAGTAGCAATGCAAAGTCTCAATTGATTAGATAAGTTACACCTGACGCCCGTCTATTAGTATACGAATTTCGACGCTGAGTTCGCGGCCGTCCAAACCTTACCGTTCGATCATATTGTAAATGCATTAATTAAAAAGTCTACTCTCCCAAGGAGAACAAAAAGTCAAAATGATGTCACTGAGACTGTATGACTACAAAATGACTGTACACCCGTACAGTTTGCATATCTAAAAAACGTCTTAAAGACGTATTAAAGATGTCTTTTAGACATGCGCGCTGTATGGGCAGTGACTCGTCATAAAATCATTATATAACGATGCTTTGACTTTCAGGATTTTAATTCAATATGCATATTTTCAAAAATACAATTTTTTTCACAGGAGATTGCCTGGCAAGTGGCACTTATATATTCATTGAAATTATCTTATATGTATATATGTATATAATATATGTATAAGTTAAAAATTTTATAATGTAATATATTATAGATACAAAAATATATATATTATAGATGTATACATTGTTGAAAAAGGAACGTGAATTCTCTCGTATCCTCTGAGAAAAAAATATGTATTAATTTGTGTTATTTTAATAGAATAAATCACTAAAAAATAAATTATTTTAAATATAATCCTAAATATAAATATATTACTAATTTATATATTACGTAGGAAAAAAGTCACGAGAAAAGTCAAGAAGATCTTATTTTGACGTCTTTATGACGTCACAAAACCGTGTTTGTCAAGAACCATAACGTCATCATGACTGATCAACTATGACTTTTGAAAGATGTCATTTTGACATCATTTTGACTTATGTGTTCTCCTTGGGATGGCTTCTGCTATAGCTCCTGTATTTTTATGTGCTTCCACCTTTAGACGGTCTTGAATATAAGATTTGACTACGAATACCGGCCTAAAACATATTAAATTGACTGAGAAGAATAAAAAGTCATGATGATTAAAATGTGGCATCGCGTCGATTCATCCCTTTACTAAGAGAAATATTAATTTGATGGTATCGCCGATTAAGTTAATCGAAGTTTGCAGTTATTCTGGCTCTCTTTCGTGGACCAAATTGCAATCAACAATTAGTCAGCACGTTTATTCTCCTCTACGAGAGATCGTTTATGTTAGCTTGTATTGTGTGTGTGTGTGTGTGTGTGTCGAGTGCGACTTAAATTATTAATTATCTGCAATGATAATGCATCACAAAATGAGTCGGATCATATCTGCTCTTTATCGTTGTATTATACGCGTGCGCTCAACCAAAATCTGAGTTTGACCAATCGAGACCGAGCAAATTAGAGTTGTCCGATTGAGCGAGATCTAATAAGTTCGTTCTTATATTTTATAAAACCATCTTAAGATGTTTTAAACTAATCACAGGGGCTCGATTCTTGAATTCATTTAAAAGAGAAACGTAAAGGTTGCAAACTGATTGGCTGCTTGCATAGCTTTTCGCGCCAATCGACGCGATTGGTCCACGATTTCTCCCCACCGTCGTGTGGGGGAAATCTCAGTACGTAGGTTGGCAAGGGTGGATGGGCAAACCGTCGGCGCGGGGCGCAATCGGCAATCAGACAGACGGGTCACACGTCAAACATGGCGGAGCTGGTCGCGATACCGTTGAAGAAGCCCTCGGACGTTGACGTGGTGAAGCCGCTCACCAATGTCATCCGGTCGACGTACAGCGGCACGGGCAAGGATTACGCGGACGCTATCGCCGAGTTCAGCAAGCTGCGGAACAACGCTCTGTGGCGCGCCTTCGAGAAATACGAGAGCTCCTTGCAGGTTATCTACAGGTAATGAGTCATCCCGTTCAATCGTTATTTCGATTATGCGCGTGCGACGTGCCGTGCCTGGCTGTCACGATCGCACGCACGGAACTGAGCGGGACGCTCGGCGTGTTTTGCAACGTCTCCTCGCACCCCCGAGCCACCGCGTGTCAGCGTGTCCGGAACTGGCGAGGAGTTCTGTCCGGCTGGATTTGCCTACGCGAAATGAAGGGAATGTCGCGGATCTCTTCTTCTTCCCTCCCTTTCCTGAAAACTGAAGGTCCGCGGTGCAATCTCTAATTGAAAATTGTTTCTTACGTGACCTTCCAGCCACTGAAATGCCGTTACATCTTCAAATCTAGTACTTGAGACGACCTTAAATAACGAACTTAAATGGCACTGTGAACACCATCCTAGAACTCTGAAAAAGATTTGGGATTGTAAAATCTGAGGATCTTCGTGGATTACAGTTGAAAGATGATGGAATGTTATGAACCTCAAAGACCTGTGTCCGCGATGCAGTTTTTATGGAGTAGCTGCAAGTTGATTGGCTAGGCATTTCTTGAAGCTAGAACTCGGACCAAGTTCTAACATCATGGACACAGACCTTAAAGCCTTGTGTCCACGATTCAAGAACTGTGTCCAGGTTCTAGTTCCAAGAAATGTGCAATCGGTCAACCTGTATCTTTTATGGAAAAGCAAGTTGATTGGCTGCGCATTTCTTGGTACTAAAACTTGGACACAGTTCTTGGATCGTGGAGACAAGGCTTAAGAGAGGTCTCGATACAAAATTTGGCTTAAAATTAAAAGAGTTCTTGCACCGAAAGTACACCGTGGTGTGCTAAAACGGTGCCGTTTATTCACGACTGAAGATCATTGCTAGCTGAACGTGCGACTTTATTTGCAGCTATTATGATCAGCTATGCGCTCTGGAAGGAAAAATCCCTGCTCACGAGCTGCAGATACCGTTCAAATGGAAAGACGCCTTCGACCGTACGATTTTTGGTGGAAAACTCAGCTTGAGTAAGTGCGAAAAGGAATTGCTTCTTCTCGATTTTAATTCTTACGATAGAGTTTGAACCGTTTGTGAATCATTTGAGAAGCAATTTTGACAAACGGACGTCCAGAATGTCACGGTATAATCTCTAGATTGAGAGTGCGCATTAAAGTTGTAGATAAGATAAGATGATATAGGTTTTACTTTATGCGTCAACAACAATGCGACTTATAATATTGTCTTTTGCAGCGATCAGTACATTGGCGTACGAGAAAGTATGCGTGCTCTTCAATATCGCCGCTTTACAAAGTTCAGTGGCGGCTACGCAATCCTTGGACACCGATGAGGGATTGAAGCTATCGGCCAAGTTATTTCAGGTTCATTTCTTCCGTCCTTATCACTGATATGCTTTATCGTGGGTAAAGAATAATCGGTCAATCTTCCTGCAGCAATCAGCTGGAATATTCAATCATCTGAAAGGCAACGTTATGATGGCGATTCAACAAGAACCGACGCCCGATATTAGCCCAGAAACTCTCGGGGCGTTGAGCGCATTGATGCTCGCGCAGGGGCAGGAGATATTTGTGCACAAAGCGATCCATGATTCTATGAAGGACGGCATTGTTGCTAGGCTGGCAGCGCAAGCGGAAGAACTGTATGCGGACGCGCTTAAACTGTTCCAGAAAGAAATCTTTCGCGCATTTTGGGACAAGGAATGGGTACCCCTGGTTAGTACATGGGGTACGACGTACAGAATCGCTCTTACATTATTTTAATTATATTTAAATATAAATGTTATCGCAGATCGCAGGCAAACAGGCCGGTTATCGCGCCATGGCTGAATTTTATCAATCTCTCGTGTGCAAGAATAACAAACAGATTGGCGAAGAAATCGCTAGACTGGAGGTAATCGCAGTAGCGTCTAAATCGTTTCTTTTACATTCGCGTTTTCAATGCACAAAGACCAAAAAGATACGTTAGTCGACTTTTAAATAGGTACACGTTAACATTTTCAGCACGCCGTGGAGCTGTTCAAAGCCGCTCAGCAAAGATCGAACAAACCGAACTTGTTCCAAGATTATGCCAACAGGGCGCAAAGAAATCTGACGGAGGTGAAGAAGGATAATGATTTCATATATCACGAAAGGATTCCGGATATCAAGAACGTGGAAGCTATAGGAAAAGCTAGCGTCGCCAAACTACTCCCGCTACCTGAAGTATTCAGTGCCGATTTTAAAGGTTCGCGATATTGATCTTGCATAAGAGATGCAAAATCAATATCGTTATGTCAGCTATTTTGGGGTATGCTTACAGACTTGTTTGCCGAGTTGTTACCTCTTAATGTGCGCCACGCATTGTCGGCCTATGAGAATCGTCGTAATGAGCTTGTTAATTACGAGATTTCGAATCTTCGTGAAATGACACAGCTTTTAAATAGGTACACGTCTTGAAATACAATGCTATGCTTATTGTCGGGTCATAGATTTCTCATTAGACATTTTATACGTACAGCGTTTTGGCAAGTTTGAACTTACCAGCGGCTATAGAAGATACGAGTGGCACGGAGATACCTCAGTCGCTGTTGGACAAGGCGCTTCACGTACGAGAATCGGGTGGAATAAACGCTCTGGAGGTAGCCATGAGAGAACTGCCGGATTCGTTGCTGCGTAATAAAGAGCTTTTAGATGAGGTACGAATATTATTTTCTCACTGAAGTTCCTGCGTATTGCGTATAATTATCTCTTACTTGTCCTTGTAGTCGGAAAGAATGCTGCAAGAAGAACGTGATTCTGACAACCAGTTGAGAGAGCAATTCAAAGAACGCTGGAAGCGGACACCCAGTGCCCGATTGACAGAACAATTTACTAGCAATTTACATAAATATCGCGAAATTATAAATAACGCAGTCACTGCTGATAAGGTAAAAAATGCAAAGGGAGGAAGGAAAACTTTGTGAAGCTTACGGAATGTTTCATTGTGTTGGTCATACGTAGGTAGTTCGTGAAAAATATGAAAACCATAAAGAAGGGATCGAAATCCTGAGTTTGGACGAGGACGAGCTTGCCAGGGCTATTCCGCAAGGTTCTGCTCTCCAAGAAAGTAATGCTGTTATTAAGCTCAGGAAATTAATGGATGATGTAGGTGGTGAAAAATCACGAGGATTGATAGCAGTAAACGGATTTATGCACATCGTTTTTTGTATTTTAATCACTATGGAATATCTTTTTGTCAGGTATCCACATTAAAAACTGTACGAGACACTATCGAAAATGAATTCAAGTTCGCTGCCAATGACATGAAGACGATGTTCCTCTCGGCACTGGCCAAGGACGGCGCGATCGACGAGCCAAATATGTCCGTCGAGAGTTTGGGAAAGTGTTACGGGCCCTTGCAGAAGCAAGTACGAGAGAGTATAGCGCAGCAGGAGAAATTGGTTGCTGACATTCAGGTAAATCTAGCATTTTCACGATGGAGACAACTGATTAACATCAGATAAGCAAAAGGTAAACGTGAATCACAATCTGCAATGGTCTTCTAGAGTTGCCATGCAGAATTTACGAATGAACAAGCTGGTAGCGGTAGCGCGCGAGAAGCGATACTCTGTAAACTGGCTTCCGCTTACGATGCATTTAAAGAGCTGAAGAATAACCTAGTGGAAGGGGCTAAGTTCTACAACGATTTAACGCAGGTAAATTTACATCGTGGCTTTCTCCTCGTGATTGCCGCCGATTGTCGTCTAAGCAATTTGTCTCTCTATCTCTCTCTCTCTCGACAGCTACTCGTGGTTTTCCAAAACAAGATATCAGATTTCTGTTTCGCACGAAAAACCGAGAAGGAGGAACTCCTGAAAGACTTAACTACGAACCTAAGCCAGACCGGTCCCGCTGCGACGCCAAGCATTCCGTCTCATCACGGCAGTGGTATGGATCGTATCAATCCCGATCACGTTACGTTGACTTCGTTAACGCATCTCGAGTCGGATAATTATTATCGACTCTCTGTCCGTGTAGGTCCGCCTGGCATAAACCCAACAGCGGAAGCCGCCTCAGCGTCGCCGCAGCTGCCTTATCCGGTCCAGCACCATGGCGGAATGCCCATACCTTACGGTGCTGCGGCAGCAACACCGTATCCAGCATTCGTTCCTCCGCCGATGCCGACAGCCTACAATCCATACGCTACGATGCCGTATCCTACGCAAGGTACACATAGGGAACCTCGCAGTTCCGTCATCTGCAATATATCCAAGAGGCATGTACGATATTTATATAAAATTTCTAGGGGGATACAATCCATACCAGGGTATGCCTCAAGCTCCGTACGGAGGTTACGCCACGTTACCGCGTTACGGTGGCACTCAACCACCGCATGGACAAAACCCGTGGTGAACCAAACGGAAGGCGGTTATTAGCGTATATTACGATTTAACGTATATTCGTATATCGCGCATATTTTATATATAAAATTCTAGAAAAGTCTGCTATTAATCGACATTGGACGAACAATGTTGCCAAGCATAGTCCAAAGGAGTTTGCGTTTACTAATTGTTACACGTTTCACCGTGTCGAGTCGTTTATCCGGTACAGATCGATCGTTGATATTTGTTAAACTCTAAGTGCCGCTTCATCAATTTTGTGTAGAGGGCTTATTATCAATTTATAAATATATTTTGTAAAATAAGTCGAACGTATAGAAATTATTTTCACCTAGACCACCTGGAGAAAAGAATCTCGATGCGTCGACTACTGATAGAACAACTTCAGGCACACTACGTTCGTATAAGCATAAATATACATATATATTTCTATTGAAGATAAATTATATTCACAGTATAATTTATCAGTTTATGATGTACATATTATGTATACCTTGTGTTTTAATATAATTGCATACAATTATACGAATGTGGGTAAATTGTCAAAGATATAACATTATTTCGACACATATGCTGAACAAAGCGTAAAATCTGTATATTCGTTAATTTTAACGGGCATTAATCAAAAAGATAAACGAAATCATCTAAAATTTCACAATACTTTCAAAACAATTAATATTCACGTTTGAAACGGTATTAATTGAAAACAGCTATTTGAATTCTGATCATACAAAAATATTGAGAGAACGCATTCTTACAATATTAAATCTACAAAAAATTTCTCTTTATTGTTAATAGATGACGGCCGTCATAAGAATGATGGCATACAAGTAATTCATTTATTACAATTTTACACATCATGTATGTTACATATAAAATATTTAAAGCGTATTTTCTAATCGTTGACTGAAGTTATCATTAATTTTCGAGTCTGAATGATTTCGTGTGATTTATCACGTAAAGCGGGACAATTAGATTCGAACTCTAAAAGGGAAATTAATAGTCAAAGTCCTGAAGAGAGTCTTCATGTAGAAATATTTTGAGAATATTTAGCAGTGAAATATACATGTATATACCCAACATATGAAAGAGGTAGAGAAGAGATGCAAAAAATAGATAGTCTCATAAGAGTAAATGTAGATAAACCTTATTGTACATTCCAATGATGAAACACTTGTATTGACCACAAATGTGTGATTGAAACGGAGTCGAGATATATTGCTCCAGCATTATTACATTATTGATTCGGAAATTAATATGTCGGTGATTGTACATTGATAAGTATAATCGTAGTATTAGAGTGCTGAATAACATTGGCAGGATACACAGATTATCTAAAATATGTTCACGTGATCGCCAATACTTGGACGATTAGATAACGCAGTATTAACTACATGCTTTATTATCGGATTAGGTATATTTGCAATAGTTAATTGTAATTATTTATTTAAAACCGCATCCCTGTAATTATTAAATATACATAATGTGAATACAATCCATGTAAATAATACAACTTCGTGTTATTGTGTCATAGAAGCGTATGCTTAGCTATGAAATAATAAGAAATACTGCGTTATGAGCTTAATCGTTCAGATATTTGATTTAAAGAGCCAGTTTATTTTAATATTTCGTTGGTGTCAATAAGCGAAAGAAAGAATGTGAAGTGATGCGGATTAATCCTTTGCGTGCTGGCTGCTGGAGCTGCTCGACCGCGAACGGCGTTTGAACTTCGCTTGGCTCGTGTCCGATACGTTATCGTTTTTCTTATACTTAGTCTTGTCGTGGCGGGAATTGATGTCGTTGTCCTGATGGGAATTTGAATTATTCCGACGTCGATCGTTGCGCTTATCGTAATGCCTATAATTATCTCTTCCGGGTCTGTGGGTTCTGTAAAAATCTCGCCTACGTGGAGAATAATTTCTCTGATTTCTTCTGTCGCGACTTGCTCTACGATCGTAGTCCCTCTCTCTGGATCTTCGACGATCTCTCGACCGAGAACGCCCGCGTCTTCTGCTTCTATCCTTGGAGTCGCGTCGTGAGTTTCGATCGTTGTAGGATCGGTTAGCGTCACGCTTGAACGACCTCTCATTCTTGTTTTGCTTCATCTCCTTGTTCTGCATATCATTTCCCTCTGCGTCTCTCTTCACGTTATCATCCTGCGCCACCATAGCCGCAGTTTCGTCTGTCTGGTCGTTCTCTTTATTCTCCATTAATTCCGACGCGTGTATATCGTTATCTAGATCTGGCACTTGATCATTTTCATCCGGATTCTCTACGAATCTTTTAATTCGGTCAGTCTCACGGGTCTTGAACTCTTCTTCTTTCTTGAGACGTTCCTTTTCTATTTTCTGCAATATAAAGCACAGTGTGTAAGTAGGGAATAATAATTCTACGCGTGTTATTTTGATATAATGTATTTTAAAATGTACCTGAAATTCGTGCAACTTGATAGTACGATTTTGAGCTTGCTTCCAATGAGGCGGCGTTACACTTCTGGAACGACTTCGAGAAGGAGTGTGATATCGCTGAAAGTTTACTTAAAATATGTATCCATACTTTTTAATTGTTATAGTAAACGGACAAGATAAATCAGCGAGTAAAATCTGACTCTGTACTCCCACGAACTTTCATTAATTATACGCGACTGATGAATACGATAGCCGCCGTTACGCGACAAATATCAGAGCTTTGTGACAATTGATCACTTACGAATATTCCTCTACCCTTGAAAACACGGCCAGTCTTTCTATGAGATCGTACACGATCTCTTCCGTAATGCTGTCTAAATTCCTTCTGATTCGCATTATTGGTGGAACCTGCTCTGTACAAAAATTTATTTGCCGGCACTTCCGGAATTTCATCGGGATCGATTTTGGTAACGGACACCAGCGGATGAGGCTGCCCTTCGTCTTCCTCATTTGAATCCCGAATTTCACCGTCTTCCGACTTCGCTCGCTTTTTACTGAAACAAGACAGTGCGTTATCGCAATTATCGAATATCCGAGACTTTCTCTTGCGTTCGGCGTACCTTTTCTTGTTCTTCTTTTTCTTCTTCGCTTTATCGGCATAAGAATCAGTCTCTGACTCCGCCGAACTACTTTGCTTCGCTTCTCGTTTTTTCGCTGCAAACACGCATACGTTATTATATTTATCAGCGAATTATGACTCGCTCAATCGTTATGCCTGAAGAATAGAGAGTACTTGTACCTTTACTTTTGATCTTCAAGACCAATTCGCCACAGTTCACTACCTTAGCATCTTGCAACGGACGTGACATTCGGTCTACTGGAAGTCCTTCAATATGCATGACGATCTCTTGCCCAGTCACTACTTCTCCAAAAACCACATGGACACTGGAAACGGAGAGATTTTCATATAGACAAAGCAGGCTTAGGTCCCTTCAACGTTTCTTCGGAACATCCCGAGATCGAATAATCGAAACTCGTCGCGACTGATCTATACTCACTTGTCGAGGTGAGGCGCTGGTTGTGTTGTACTACAACAACAAAATATGATTAAGGGGATGAGAGATGAACAGAAAGAGCCAGAGCTTTCATTGGTCATTTGTGTTGTAGTAGTGGTGTGCAGACCCCCTCACGACTACGCAAAAACATCGCTAAGTTATTCATTCCTCCAGAATGATTCTTACTCCTACGCTCTTTTTCTTTTCAATTATCTGCCGTGAGTTCGCCGCATAAATATCATAGGAACATTGCGCATTCATGTAAAAGCCTTGCCGGCTTTACCACGCAATTAAATCTGTCTGCCATCTATTTGGAACATACGATTCAATTGCTACGAAGATCAGCCTTACACCGTTCGATTTCCCACATTTACACTCATTTAAGAATGGGAGGGTTCTTTGGTGAACGTGACTAACGATAGGTATTAACGCTAACTTCACCCTGATTTAAAACGCCTAGTCAATCGAGCGAGAGCTAATTTATGAGATGGTCGCCCGAAGAACAATCTTTTAGTATCACGAGGGAAGCGCGTAATAACTGGAATGATAACTGTGTTGCGATATCTCGCTTGCTAAGAGGTACCTGTAAGATTTTGCCTACGTATTGTAAGCAGCCATACAATTATGTAAAGTCACGAAACCTTTATAATAAAAAAAAATACCTGATATATTAAAATCACAGATTTTCAGATTTACATGTGCATGCAACTTTATGGAGCAACTGTAGATAGTAACGTCAGTGTACTTACATGAAAAACTGGGAGCCATTGGTATCTCTACCGCGATTCGCCATCGACAACAAAAACGGCTTATCGTGTTTGATAATAAAGTTTTCATCTGCGGAGAAGAGGACGCTTCTTAAGAAAGCGAAGTGTAAAATCTCCCTTTGTACCATTTCTTTTCTGTTAAAGCCTAATCTACAACGTGCTCCCTGCGTCCAGGAACATTGTTTTATATAAACAAATCGACAGGCTTAAAAAATTTGCCGACAACGTACGATTGTGCAGTGTACAACATACAGTTTATCCACTTGCGTAGATTTTTTTCAAACGTATTTATCGACTACAAAATACAGAATGTTTCTGGATGCAAAGAGCACATTGTAGATCAGGCTTCGACGAGTATATTGGGTCGAGCTGAAGTAACGCCCGAGTCATGTGTAGTCACCTGCAAATGTACCGCCGTAAATCGACTCGCCGCCAGTGCCGTTACCTATCGAGAAATCGCCACCCTGAATCATAAAGTCCTTCACGACCCTGTGAAAAACAATGCCTTTATAATGCAGCAGCTTGCCCGTCGTTTTCCCAAGTCCCTTTTCTCCGGTACACAGCGCGCGAAAGTTGTCAGACGTTACGGGACAAGTGTCCGAGAAGAGCTCGAAGACTACTCTGCCCATGGGCAGTCCTCCGACCTCCACGTCGAAGAACACCCTCGTGTTAACCATGGCGGAAGGGTCGCCGGATTACCTGCAAGTGCCACGAAACGAGCAATTAGCACAGTGCGAACAATGAATTGTGCTTACGAGATTATTCGAATGTGTATAGGAATTCAGGGAGGTGTGCAACAAATTATATAATAAGAAATAAACAAGGTGAACGAGTGCGATAAGCATGAAAGATAGAAATCTACGCTTGGAGAAAGAGTGATAAAAGCAGACTGAATGAGAACGGGAATGAAATGCGACGAAAATAAAGTGGGGAAAGGTATGAAATATGTGGGCGCGATGAAAATAAGAGTAAAATTGCACACGGATCGGAACACCGAGGCGCAATCGCGACGAGTCACATCGTCGGCTCTCGCGCACAGTGAATTTCTAATCAATGGACACACAGGTCGGCTTATCCGGTGTGACTCCGCGATTCTCGGTACGTCGGGAAGGCGCTCTACGCCCTTTTGCACGTGTCGCTCCAGGTAAAGGGAGAGAGAAAGAAAACCGGTAAGGGGACAATGATAACGGGAGGAGGCGGTAATAAATTATCGATTACGCGCGCACGTCCGTGAAAATTATAGAAAAAAAAACTTGGACGGAAAGGTTAAAGACTCACGGAAATCGCGCGCTTACGCGGAATATCTAGGATCAGTTGAACCGGTCTCGAATCCTCCACGGCCCGATTGAATCTGGAAAACGTGTGTGCTCGACGTGGTCGGTTATCCCGATACGCATACGGCTCCCTGAAGTCCCTGGACACGACGTCGGACGTCGGCGGGGCGATCAAGAAGCGGCTACGTATTAACGTCCACGAAGAATGTTAGTAAAGAGTATGTTCTTTATAGCTGAACTAGTGCAGCCAGTTCAGCTACAAAGAACAGACTACGGACGTAGGAAATATCTGGACGGAGCGTAAAGCCTGTATCACACTACGGATTGAGATTGGGATTAGGGTACTATTACATTTGTCGTACGACAAATTTTTTAAGCGTGTCGATTGGCCGCTGAATAGAAAGTTTCTAGATACTCGAGAATTTTACTATCCTTCAGCCAATCAATACGCTTAAAAAC